GTGTGACTTATTTATTTCACTTAGGAGTATATCTTCAATATGTATCCATTTTCCTATGAATGAATCTATTTTCTCGTTCTTTATGGCTGAGTAATATTCCATTTTATAGAAAAACCACAACTTCTTTATCCAGTTTCCAACAGATGGGCAAATAGGCTGTTTCCAAGATTTAGCTATTACAAACTGTGCTGCTATAAACATGGGTGCACATACTTCTCTGTGATATGATTCTTTTAGTTCTCTTGGAAAGATACCCAGCAGAGGGATGGCTGGGTCAAATGGAATCTCCAGCCCAAGCTCTTTGAGGCATCTCCATATTGATTTCCATAGTGGTTGCACTAGTCTGCACTCCACCAACAATGGAGAAGGGTTCCTTTCTCCCCACAACCCCGCCAACATTTGTTATTGTGTGATTTCTTGATAGCATCCATTCTTTGTGGGGTGAGGTGGAATTTCAGTGTTGTTTTCATCTGCATCTCTCGAATGACCAGTGATGTGGAACCTTTTAAAGCCAAGGAAAATAAAAAACTTTCAGCCTACTTGTTGTAGACAGTAGAAATAGAATTAATCTAATTAATCTAACCTAAGAAGAATTTTTAAAATTGATATAGTTCATTTGAGATTGGCACCAACTTTAAATGGATCCACAATCTCACTTTTGCTTTCTGTGCTATAGGAACTTTATAGCGGTAGCAGAGACTGCAATATTCTTGCCTGGGTACCATCCTTATACGAACCACTTCCTGAGGAAGATGAGGTAAATATTTGTACAAATGGTACAATAACTTCTAAACCATAAGGAACAAATGTTATTTATTTATTTATATGGGAGAGACTTTTAAAACATGTCTTGCTGTTTTCTGAGTGTAAAAATAATTTGCTATAGCACATTGGAAAAATCTAGGAAAATACCAAAAGAATATAAAACTTCTCAAGTTCAATTAATGAGCACATTTTATTTACTTCATTTTTGTTTTTTCCTAGCATATTTTTTGCCATAGTTAATATCATGGTTGGACACACAAATTGATAACCTACTTTCTTATTAACATTGTACAATAAACCTCTGTCATTAATCACTATTTACAAATATTTTAATGATACAGTGCTCTGTTGTTTATGTATTCCAACTGAAATATTAATTTCTTTCTGTTGATTATTATAAACAGAGTATTTGTTCATAAATTGTGCATATTTCTGATTTTTGATAGAGTCCTAGAAGTGAAATTATCTCTTGAATTATGTATGACATTTTTGACATTGTCAAATTTTACCAACTTGTAGCACTCTAACGGTATCTATCTGACAGCATGAATAAAGAGGAGTGGGTAAAGAAAAAATGAATAAGACACGATCTTGGGGCTTAGGTTTTTTTTGGTTTTTTGGTTTTTTGGTTTGTTTTTTGTTTTTCTTGGTACCAGGAATTGAACTCTGGTCCTTGAACTAGTGAGGCAGGCGGCAGAACCACTGAGCTAAATCCCTGGCCCCTCAAGTATTTTTTTTTTTTTTTAACTGTATGCCAAGCAGTAGTAACATTATCTGAAGGTGGTATCTCTTCTACCAAGGATTATTTTACTGAGCACTATTTATTAATCATCCCCATACATCTAAATTTCTAGGATATAAAAAGTATAATGTCTAAAGCAGTGTTTATATAACTTTAAAGTCAGAAATACAAATAATGTAGTTAGGAACACCTTAAGATAATCTTAACTCAAGTCAGTAAAAATTTTTAAAAAATCTTAAGTGGATGTGGAAGAAAGTTCTAAAAGAATTTTTATATGAGAAAGTAAGCAAAACAAATAGAAAGTAAAATAGAGATATAAAAAACAAAGTTGATCTTGATATTTAAGTCTTTGAGCTATAAAGCCTTTTCTTTTTAATACACTATTCGTATGCTTTAACTTTAAGAATGCAATCATTCTTGTACTAATATAAAGTAGTGCATGCTAAGGTTATTTTCATAAAAACCTTAGTTTGAAAGATTCTTAGGAATATAGGTAGAATACGTATGTGATCATGATGCAAATCTCAGTAGTGAAGCCTGTCTGCCCAAGAACCTATTCTTTATGTGTATGCTTATGGTTTCATCCATATTGAAAAATGCTTTGCCATGCGTGGTGACGCATGCCTGTAATCCCAGCACTCAGGAAGCTGAGGCAGGAGGATCGCTGTGAGTTCCGGGTCAGTATCACCTACATAGTGAGTTCTAGGTGAGTCTCAACTACATAGTGAGACCCTGTCTCAAAAAAAAAAAAAAAAAAATGTTTTCATCTCAACTGTCAAATAAATAACTACTGCAGTTTCCCAGGAAAGCAACATAGCATAATGCAAATGAAACATACACGTACATGTACATAAACCTGGGTTTGAATCCTGGTTCTGCCATTTATTACCCAGCTCTGCCAGTATTACCCTAGGACAAGTTTATGGTATTTCCACATATCAGAACTGTAAAAGCAAAAGTTGCTTATAGGTGCCCTTTCAAATTTACCTTCCCCAACAACCAAGATATAATCCCTTAGGAGAAGGAATTTAATTCTATCCAAGGAAACTGAACAATATTAGATTATAGGAGCAAGTTTTGTGGTCTTTGAGTATATGTTTCATTACTTCATTTTCAGGCTGTTTTATAATATCCTGAGGGTTCTGCCTTTTTCTCCTCTCACTTTCTAAGTAGCCATCCTCAAGTCCAGCTTGTCTGTAACATATAATCACTTTTTTCCTGCCTGAGACATGCAGGGCAAGTAGTTTAAATATGACTTCTCATCAAGAATCTTACTTTAGTTTTATGGTCACACAATGTACACCTGTTTTATTTACCACTAGGGTACAAGTATAGTCTCCTGCAGAAAACTGTGAGACTTTCCAAAAATGACCAGGCATAAATTTGCAAGTTACCAAGATATCCCAACAAATGTTCATTTTGATTTCATTCCTCCATTTAGACCTGGACTCTGTCCCCGCTGAATTCAAGTTTCTTCATCCCCCTTAACAGTCACAACTGTCAGTAGAATAGGCAACCTAGTGAGGTAGAAATGAGTAAGTTCAGGCAGAGCCTGGCTCTCTACTAGGAGGAAATATAGAAAAAACCAAAGTGGTAGGAGGTGGTTAAACTTTCTAGGGGGGGTCTCCAACAGTAATAAATGTACTAAATCAATCTACATCCTTTTTACTGTAGCTTTTTACCACAAATGTGATATTTTACTTGTGATTGTTTTAGCAACAAAATATATTTGTAATAGTGCTGTAATGTATTCATATCTTTGCTTTACTACTGTAAATAGCAAAATGTATATATAAAGACATTATAACTTTCATTTATTTGTGTTTCTTTATACTTCTTACCAAAAATAATTTATAATGAGATGTAGTTTTATTTCTCTGTTAAGTCTTCAAATGAAATAAAATGCTTAGTAGCTTATATATTGGGCTTCCATAGTGAAATTAGGAGTCCTGACCTTTCTGTGACTTACCTATCCAGGGACAATTTTGGTAGGCAAGGTAAGGCAGAATTAAAAGCTTCTAAAGATAATAAGGAAGGTGTCACCTAACCCCTCATACAATACACGCTCACTAAATAACCTAACTTAGTAGTTAAGTTGTCAATCCAAAAAGACAGGAAATTCAGAATACATTCAGATGAAAATAATAATAATAAGTGAACAGACTTGAATATACTATTCTTACATATACATGGACTACTGCTAGAAATTAGTGGGTAGTTACCTGGGGTTTGACCATAGTTTTGTATCTGGACATTTGGGAGCAGATATAATGGAATTTTGGTTGTACACCTAAATGAGGTCAGCCAACATTAGGTTTAGCAATGAACTCAATTTAACTCTATAAAGAATGACTATGTTAATATATTTCTATCTTTACTAGCTGATACTCAGGAAATTTACTGGAAAAAATAATTTTTCTACTGTTTTCACTGTTTGAATTAGAAGATTCTGAGTCTCATGTTCATCAAAAGGAAAATGAACGTGCTCAGATACACAGTAGAGGTTCCCCTTAACATATAATATTTCTATAAGTTATCAAAGGCAATACATCTAAGATAATTTAAAAATAGTTGTGATGCTGATTCATTATTGGAATTTGGATCTGAACAAACTGGCTAATATACAAGCTGCAAAATAAGAAGCAAATTTAACTTATATGCCCAGATACCTTTATGTAATGCCATTATATTTTAAGCCCTTTTAGTCCTTGCCGAAGAATAAGAAGACATTCATTCAGCTTTCCCAAACAAATGAATTGATTTTTAATTCACAGATAAATCAACTTCTATACATTAGTTACTTGTTACCTCTATTAGTTGTGGCTCTAAAGTTGTGAATATTCTGATACTTTCTTGTTGTTTTAAAACACTATCCAGTTCATGTTATCCTTCAGAGAAATTTCCCAGGAAAGTCTATGTCCTAATTATAAACTTGTTACCATTTGTGAAGTACTTTGCCAAAGAATAAAAATGTGCAAAGAAACCTCATGATTTAATAATCCCCTTTACTTTTTTTGGTGTAGAAATGGTACCACTCAGCTTAAAGAGCACCTATTTCTCACACATCAGTATTTGTTTATTTAAAGAAGTCAAGTCCATCCAACAGTGAAAAGTTGCCAGCATTAAGTTAAACATTTAGTTGCCCAGTGAGACTGTAGAGCCCAGCCAGTGTTCATCCTTTTCCAGTTAATTCCAGAAAATTATAGAAACACCCTGAGCAACAGCAGCATCATATGTATGTATGTATATATTTGTGAGGTGAATGCTTTGAAACAAATGCAAGTTATTTGGATAATGTCTGGTATATATGTTTCAAATGAAGTTATATTATCTTGTATATGTATTAGGGAGTATTTCTTACAATATCTAATAGCTATTCATAATGGCATATTCCATAACTATTATGAGCCTAAAATTATAATTATAATATCTTTCTTTTTCTTTTTCTTTTTTTAGACTAAAACCAAGTCACGGTTAAATCCAGTCTTTGAAGATGCCTGGAGCAGTGATGAGGAAGGATGACTGTCAGCCTTGAGGACCTTTGTGTTTCTAATGATGAAACTTTTTAAACAGCACTGGTTGTGTGTAGAGTTTTTGAACTATTTGTTCTATTCCTAAAAATTAAATTAGCCCTGAATTTGGGTGATATTTTTCACTGAAGTTTTAAAACGAGGTTAATATTTGTATGAAATCCTAAACAGACTTTGAGGCATTTATTTAATTAAAACTGGTCCCCTTGATCCTGCAGTGGCCAGGCAGCCCATTGCTACAGTAAAAGAACAGAAGTTGTAGTGTCTCCACTTGGGTCTTGAACAGATCATATGAATGTAGAAAACAGTCTGAGAGGATCACCAGCGCCCACTTCCTCCAGTAACTGGCTGCACCATTAACCTGCTCACCTCCACCTGCAAGGGTGATTTTATAAAGGATTATCACATAAAACAATGATAGTTAAAAAAGTAGCATTGAAAGTATTTGTCCTTTTTAATTTTCCTATTACATCGCTTTTTCTCAATTTTTATTTTTTATTAGTACATATTTGTAGTACATAATGATCATATTCCTTATGGGGAGTTGGTATATGTTCTGTATGTAATACATCTTAATTACTCCTCCATTGCTTAGTCCCCTTACCATTTGCAAAAGATCTCCCTACTTCCTTTTCTCTATCTTTACTACTTCTTTTTTTTGGTACCAAGTATTGAACTCGGGTCCACCGAACTGCTAAGCTAAATCCCCGGCTCTCTATCTTTACTTCTTATTCATGTATTCCATTTTATAATTGATTTCCTTTACCTGACCATTTTGTAGCTGCGTTTTGAACAGTTTTGGCTCAGTGTCTTCTATAATCCAAACAGTATATTGTGAGGAAGTCTTTAATTTGTGGAAAGTCCCATGTTTGCTTTATTTTAATGTCAGAAGGCAGTCTGTGTACTCATACTTGAACTCTTTTTCTGTGAAACTTTTTAACCAAGTCCTGCCTCATTAATGCATCCAAGCAGAAAATGTCTGACTTAAACATGAAATATCATCATAAAATTTCTTTTTTATTCTCTTCTTGTGTCAATCCATGAGTGATTTTTTTGAAGCTAATCCCCACTTCCCTTCATGAGCCTGGGAATTGAACCCAGGATAATCTAGGCAAGGACTCATCCACTGAGCTAAACCCACTATACAAACCCTGCCTATGTTCTGTCATTCTTTCCCCTGTTTAGGGCCAATGCATACTGTAGACTATAAACTACACTCATAATTACCTAGATGGTATATGTGGATGGTAGAGTTTTACTCAGTGTATTCCTGGTAGAGAAAATGGTGATTTTACTAGATATAAGATTCTTAAATTCTACTCCTTTCTTTTGTTAGTCTACAGATATTGCATCTATTTTTTTCTAGCTTCTGACTGCAAGCCAGTCATATTTTCCCCCTTTTGTTTCAAACTCATTCTTTATTGCTGGAAGTTTTCTCTTTTATAGTTTTTCAGCTTTGTCACAATTCTCTCTCCCCTTACTTTTCTTTCCCTCTTCCTTTTCCTTCTCCCCCTTCTCTTTTCCTTCATCCTTCCCCTTTCTTTCTCTTGGGACTTCTTATGAGCTCTTTCAGTCTAAGCCTCAAACCTATTATTGGCTTGGATTAGGGACATTTAATTTTTTAATTATTTTTCCTTATAATTGTCACCATCATCTTCTCTTTACTTTCCCTACCTCTCTTCTTTTCTTTCTTTCTTTTTGTCCTTCCTAATAATTGCAAATAAAGACTACTTTGTTCTCTCGGTCTTTTATCTTTTCCTTCCAGCTTGCCTTTTGTAGCATTATTATTATAGTGCCTAACATATAATAGGAGCTAAAATGAGCACTTGTTTTGTTGATTCTGTTGTAGAATTTGAGATGTTATACTTGGTCTTGAAGTTAACTTCTTCAGGCCTATAATCATCAGTGGAAACTTTAATTATGTCTTACTGTCATCTCCAACCTAAACACTTGGTTTTTGTTTCTTAAAAATAATTGCAGAAATAAATTGGAGAAATGTGGGAAACCTATAGAAGCTTCCACTTGAAACATTTTTAAGTTATTTATTCAGTTGCTGTTTATCCAAGATTATTCACAGTGGTTATCAAACAACCTGTTTTGAAGGCAGTAGTTGGTCATTGAAAAACTTGTCTCCATTGCCTTGTACAATTTATATACTTTGCTTCCATATTGTCTTGGCTAACATTGCCATATTTTAAGGTACACTTGTACCAATTATTTAGTTCATCTCAACTTCACCCTACTTATGACTAAAGCCATTCATGGCAACCTCTGAATTGCCTACTTTTTAAAAATATATAGGGCCACAAAAAATAAAATAAAAATTTTTAAAAAAGGGGCCAGGTATTTAGCTCAGTGGCTCCACACCTGCCATGCAAGTGCAAGATCCTGAGTTCAATCCCCTGTACCAAAAAAAAATAAAAATAAAAATACATAGAAATAATAAATGCACATAGAGTAAAACCTTGATTTGCAAGCATAATTTGTTCTGGAAACATGTTTGTAATCCAAAACACTTGCATATCAAAGCTAATTTCGCCATAAGAAATAATGGAAACTCAGATGATTCATTCCACAACCCAAAAATACTCAAAAATGATTACTGTAATATAATACAAAGCAATAAAGAAAATACAAAATATAAAGGAAAACAAATTACCCTTCCTTTTGAAAAATTGTGGCTAGTATGAAGGAGATGAGAGAGGAGAGTTAATGTATAGGTTGACTTTCACTATCACTAATGGAATCACTGATGTCTATTGGCTCAGTGGAATCTTTTCTTATGCAACTTTAACAAGGAACCTATCCAATGACACTTTTCGTCCTTTTAAAAAGTATTTCACGGATATGCGTCATTGCATTGTTAAACAGATTCATTACTCACATTGCTACAGCCTCATTCCGGTACTGCTTTTCTACAAAATTTTACCGTTTGGGCTGGGAATTTAGCCTACCGGAGTAAGGTAGTTCCGAAGCCTACCTCCCAAGCACAACGACCCAAGTTCGATCGATTCCCAGTACCACAAAATTTTACCGTTTTTGTTTTACACATCTGCCTAACCTCATTTAAAGTGAGGGATTCCTCTGCCATTTTCTCCTCATCTCTGCAGATGAGATCTCCACCATAACATCTTGTTATTTAGAAATAACCACCCACAATCCCACAGAGAGGAACCATTGGCTGAGTTGTGATCATGTGACATCCGCGTCACATAATACGGTATTTGTATTGCAAAATATGGCTGATTTATCAAATTAAAAATTTTTAGAAATGTTTGCTCATCTTACAGAGCACTCACATAACAATTTACTCACAATCCAAGGTTTTACTATATCTTATTGACATAACCCTAAACCTGTTAGGCAGCAAGCCTAAAAATAACATCAGAGATAAGCTTGACCTTCTTTTACACTTGCTACCTAGACTTTACAATTGATTAAGGAAACACCTTAAGAGAAAAAGTCTTACCTTCAGCTGAAGCATTTTTGTAGTGTGTACAGCTTATCTTTAAAAGTTTCATTTAAACTAGATTTTTAAAAGAACTTTATAGAGAAAGCTCTGGAGACAAATCCTTACATATTACCAGTTGTAATATAAAAATAACTTCAAAATAATGGCTCTTCAGTCGGACTCCATAGGTATACAGAGCCCACTATTAGTGAGATACTAGAAAATGAAAACTTTTAGCACTATTATTAAAAATTTGAATGAGACCGGTAGAAAAAGTTTGCATCAACAAAGTAATGCCAAATTTTTCTTTGAAGTTAAAGCACTGTTTCAAAATGGGAAGAAAAACCTCCAATTATATATTGAGGATATATAGTTCTAATTCAGAAATATTTATTGTTCAGTAATATACCTGGTTAGGTCCATAAAAATAAAAGTGTGCAAGATTTAAAAAGCTAAACATATTTGGTACATTATATAAATTTTATAGACAAATAGAGTGATTAATTTCCTTTCTTTTAACTTAATTTTTTCTATATTCAGAGACTACTGAGAGTGAAATAAGAAACTTTTGAGTATCCTTAAAGCAATAAACTTAGATCAATCCAAGCATATGAGAAATGGAATGGCAAAAAGCCTGCACATCTGAGCTTTTGCCTTTCACAAAATATAACAGAGAAAGCTAATTACAAGAAGGAGGACAATCACTTTGCTGTGTGTTATGATGACATTCTACACATCTAAAGAGTAAGTCTAGTGTTTGGGGTAGAGTTGTTTCTTCTGTTTTAGTTCTGAAAAGTAGTAGATTCCTGCTGAGGCAGGAGGATCGCCGTGAGTTCAAGACCAGCCTGGGCTACATAGTGAGTTCCAGGTCAGTCTCAACTACATAGTGAGACCTGTCAAAAAAAAAAAAAAAAAGGATTGGCTCAAGTGATTTGCGCAAATCACCTCTTTTAATCCTATGTGACAGGTGTTAGCAACAGCACTAAATTAGGGTCTGTAAAGACTTTCTTAGACAAAAACAAGCAGAAGCATGAGAGCTGAGCATGTGGCTCAGATCATTAACTCTCCAGCTTCTCTTCGCCTTGCAAGGATGGCTACATCCACTGTTGTGTCAATCTGTATAGTTTTTAAATGAATACTCTCTTCAAAGTTGCACTAAAATAAGGAAAACATTCCTCGTGGTTCTTTGAGAATTGAGTTAGTTTTATTATGACATTGTAATGTTTTCTTATACATGCAGAATGTTATCAGTTTCAGTATTATGGAAAAAGTTATTAGAAATAACTCAGTAATAATCACTATTGACATAAAGAATGATGATTATTTTTAAATTATAATGTTTTCATAAAGAAATAAAGGATAAATAAGGGGTTAGAAATCAGAAAACCAGGCTGGTTGTCAGAATGGCCAGGCCATCTAAGGCACTGTGTTCAGAAATCAGAAAACCTGAGGCTTGATCTTGAATTTACTACTAAGTAAATGTGAAACTCTATTTTTTAATGTTCTTTTTTTTTCATTGAGTTTATTGGTACTTTTTAGGTATACAGTTACATTCATCATTGGGATCTTGTACCTTTACATGACAGATCTTGGTTCTCGTTTTTTCCCCATACCCCAGCCCTCTCTTCACCCGCTCCCACTCCCCTATTTATAAAGACTTTATTTCCATTTTTTCCTTTTCTCATATTTTTTCTTTTCCCTTATTTCCTTTCCCCTACCCTTCCTACTTCCCCTACACCATTAGTCCTTTTCTTCCTATTTCCCATTATCAGTTATACAATTTGGATCTTACTTACACTTTTAGTTTTTCAAACCAGAGAAACTATTTGGTAATTGCGCATGTGTGTCTTATTTATTTCACTTAAGAGTATGGCCTCAATATGCATGCATTTCCCTATGAATGACTTTAGTTTCTCATTCTTTGTGGCTGAGTAGTACTCCATTTTATAGAAAAACCACATCTTTATCCAGTCTCCAATTGTTGGGCAATTGGGCTGTTTCCAAGTTTTAGCTATTACAAGCTGTGCCACTATAAACGTGTAAGCATATATCACTGTGG